TATTTTACTGTATTAATTGATGAAACTACAAATACACATTTTAGGTATTTGGTAACTGAAATTCTATTTATCAAAATTGATTTCCAAACAAATGTACCAAGATTTTATAGAGAAGAAATTGCTTAGAATTACTGAACTACCAAACTGATTTGCCAAATTCAATTCCAAAGTTTTTGGGCCAAAGGTCCCAAACTTGCACCTGTACTAGTTTTTCTTGGCATAATGTTTAACCTAATTCAATTGCAATTTTCATTTAAGCCTACTCGATTGTGCTCTGCATGGCTCAAGAGGGATGGTCTTCTTTTGTTCATTAGAAGTGTAGGAATTGCTTTCTCAATACACCTCTCTACATAGTGATTCTTATGATTGCTTTTTTCTTCTGTAATGGTGTTACTCTCTATCAGTAAATGGAAGAGTTTGCTGATTAATGTTTTATTTATGAATATTTATATCTATTCAGGTCTTCATCTAGGCTTTAATGGTAATGCTGCATCTTCGACAAACTGCATATACAGGGAATGAAGGCATGGAATTGATATGCATGCATTATCTTTACATTTGTACGTGATATCAAAGACGAGAACAATAAGACTTCGGGGAGATCTTGCTATTGAAGAGCTGATTTTATCTAATTGCTGCCTATGGATGAGTATCTTGATCACTATTTCTCTTCCTCATCGTGGTCAGACATGAAAACAGCCGAAAGATTGTCCTGGGACTGTGTTGAACCTAATAAACCAGATGTTCTTCTTTCAAGTTCATTGGAAGTATTTGAAAATGATGAGAAAAGCTCACCTGTAAGAATGATCATTTCAAGCCCCAATGTAGAATGCTTAACTGCTAAGGATACTTCATCAATAGTTCTTGGTGGAGAATCAGATTATGCTGGGGAGAATTGTCTACTTTCTAGAGGGGATCAATTACAACAAAATGGAGAAAACTGCAATCGCAATTCTTCGAGTGGAGTGCTGAATGGAAGGGTGAATTTTGGAAATAGAGTGGAATGCTCTCCTGCTATTCCTAGCTCAGTCTCTTATACTGAAGCTGTTTTCACCCCAGATTCAGTTAATCTACTTCCTCCAAAGCACATTACATCAATAGATGATATAACATGTCTTTCATTTACTAAAATGGGATATGTTGGCTGCAATGGAACTGAACTATCAGATGATCTAAGATCCCTTCAAGATTTATCTACCCTGTCTCCAATCTCGCAGTTGTTGCCTCCATCATTTGATGATGTTTATTCACTGTCTCATGTGATGGGACAGGAAAGAAAGCAGGGCTTTGCTTTTCAAGGAGAAAATGCTGATAGCGATGGACACAAATATGTTGAGATGAATAAAATTTTGCAACATGACAACTTGTCTGTATCAGTCGCTGTGCAGGTATTTATTCAATGAGTTATTTGAATGATTCTGCTTATAGTCTCTTAGGAGCTCCATTGACTTTCAACTGAATTTCACAAATCAAGTTCATTAGCCAAACATGGCCTCAAATTATTTGTTCTAAAATAAAGTGTGAATAAATTATATAAAACATATATATATTTATATATCTGAATTTCGCAGTTGTTGACTGAGTTATTAAGCATCTGGCTCTGTGGCCGTCCTATTAATTTGTCACTCATGAGTCACTGGCTTACTTGCCACAACTTATTTTGAAGAAAAGCCTGTTTATTTTTATCAGGAGGCTAAGAGTCAAATTAGAATTTCTAATTCATGTCTGTTATATCAGGGGAAACAGGATTTGCAGAAAAATTCTTTGCCCTCTTCTGCATCTGAGCCCCAGATAACAATGACAACAGTTGGTTTACCATCACTGCTAGAGGTGCTTATTAGAGTTTTATGAATTGTTCAATATCCCTGATTTTCATTGATGTTTGAGCTTTCATTTTTCTGACTATTAGTGAAAGCAATTTCACCAAGGACTATATAAGCTAAATTTAAGTTTCTAACTACAGAATTCATCAAATACTCATTCTGGTGGCTGTCATGGAACTGGAAAGCCTCGTGTAAGGGCACGTAGAGGCCAGGCAACTGATCCACACAGTATTGCTGAAAGAGTAAGTTGTAATGTCAAGAACAACCTTTTACTCCTTCAACCAATAAGCTTAGGATTTCCATGATTCAAATCTTTGTATCTCATCGAATTTTAATTTGTTTACTCGTGGACAAAAACTTAATTGCAGCTCCGCAGAGAAAAGATTGCTGAAAGAATGAAGAATTTGCAGGAACTTGTTCCTAATTCCAATAAGGTGTTCCTTCCTTTTTGGTTGTCTGGTATTGTCATTTAATAGTAATTTGTCCAGTTGCATATTCATGGAGGAAACCATATCTTAGAAAAAGTTTTCGAGCCGTAGGCATAGTTTTAATTGTGCAGTCCTGTCAGGAAGAAAAGAATACAGTTATATCTCACTTTCTGAATCAAATTAGCCACGGATATGTTATAAACTTGAGCTAAAGTGAGAATGTAAAAACCTTCTATAAAAGAAAAAGTGAGAACATGAAAATTGTAATGTGCATGAAACTCCTGAAGAAAGTACAATTGCTTACCTGGTATATCACTCAACCGGACATGATTAAAAAGAAAATTGACTGAGCCTGAATATAGCTGGAATCTAGCTTCCTCTCTGGTCAAGATCTGTTCTATGTGCTCTCTCTCTATCTATCTCTCTCTCTCTCAAGCATCCCATTTTCTTTCTAGGGAATTTACTATTACTTTTTGCTAGTTTTTGATTAAGACAAAGTTCAATCCCTTAGTCAAGAAAAGGTACCAGTTTTTGATTGCATGGTATTGCTAAATTAGATTTTTATTTTGTCAATCATGACTATTGAGTACTTGTTTTCAGTAGTAGCATTATTTTATTTTACAGAACATTTTTAACTTTTTATAATCTTTTTGTTATTGTAGTCGAAATGAGGGTACTGGTCAAGTCTTTACCTTTGTTAATCTTTCTTGTTTTTAAACACACGGGAAATGTAAGTTAATAGATATTTATTGTTGTCCTTGCAGACTGACAAGGCTTCCATGCTTGATGAGATAATTGAGTATGTCAAATTTCTTCAGCTTCAGGTCAAGGTATGATTAAAGAATAAATTCTTCAACAGTTTTACTCGATGGATTGCTTCAGAATTGGGTTTGTCTTAAATTTGGTTTCTTGGATTCAGTTGTAGATTGTCTTGCTTTCCATTCAACAGATTCTTAGACATTCCCGCAAGAAAGAGAATTCCAATATGTCAGAGTGTTATTTTCTGCAACTTTTGAGACTTTTACTTCTTCATAATGATATGCAGGTACTAAGCATGAGCAGACTGGGGGCAGCAGGAGCAGTTGTTCCTCTAATCACAGATGGTCAAGCTGAGGTGTTACATCTTTTTTTCTTAAAAAATTAATCGGAACTTTGCATCTATAATGGAATGAGATGATGTGAATTTGGTGTTTCTGCACCTTTGGGTGCAGTAATAGAAATGTTGACATAAATATATATTAAGGAAGAAGGCACTTGCTACCAAATACTGCTGGCTAGAGATTCACGATTATAACTTGACACTTTTCTTGACAAGGTCTACTTTGCTGGAACTTCTAGTGTGAAGGAGACAAGCATTAGTGCAGTATTCTTTCTATTTGGTTTTCTTTTATTCTTTAAATTCTTAAGCTCAATAACATATAAAAAGAGGATACTTCCTATTTCCTTGTCATGCATGCTATGTCCTTTACTAGTTTCTATTGGTTCGCATTGTTAAATCTTGAGCTTTCTCTTTGTTCAGAAAAAAAAAACCAGGTTCCCGTTATTCCTGATTAAGATAAGACCGTGAAACAGTTAAATTAAGTGAAAAAGGGTATGGCAGTTGTCACTGATGGTGATTTTGAATGCTGAATTTTGTTATGTTAGGGCTCTAATGGTTTGTCATTCTCGACGTCAGCTGGTCAAGGAGTTGACTTCTTACCGTCTGCTGATCAAATTGCTTTCGAACATGAAGTAATAAAGTTGATGGAATCCAATGTGACCATGGCCATGCAGTATCTTCAAAGCAAAGGTCTCTGCCTTATGCCCATTGCTCTTGCTGCCGCCATATCCAGTGAGAAAGCGTCACCTGTGGGGACTGCTGCTGATGAGAGGGAAAGACTTGGTCTGGCAGGTTGTCTTCATCAGAACAACAGCAACAATAGTAGCAACAGCAGTTTATCTGGCCTTGGCCCTCATCAGATGTCATCTAATAGCACTACTTTGACTGGAAAACTCAACAAAGAAGGCCTCCTGAGTAGTTGTTGCAATCAGACTGTTAAGCAAGAAGATTTGAGTAACTGCACAGCTGAAAATGAAACTCTGAAGATCATCTAGTGAGAGGTGTCTCAAATTTTCAACTAAGAGTATTATTAGTCTAGGGTTTAGGATTATATGAAATTAGAGTTATCTTTTCCTTTCCTCTTTATGTTTTTTCCTAAATGTTTGTATTCTAAGAGAAGATATGAGAATTAAGTTTGTGGTTTGAAAAGTCAGTCATATAGACGGGGCGTGCAATGTGGCTTGCCTAATGTCCATACATGAAATTGGTATATGTAGAGGTATAAGCTTGGGATGATCCTTTTGTGAAGCTTGACTTAAAGATATTTAACGGAGTAAAAACGAAACGACAATATAAATTATTCAAAAGATTTAAACACTAAGGGATTTTTAAAATAACATTTGAATATAAATTCAAATTTGGTAAGTCTTTTAAAAACCACTATCGTTCGTAAAATCAATCTAAATATCTTTTAACAATTTAGAAGTTCTAATATTCCTTCATATTTTACAATTAAGTATGAATATAAAATAAAACACGATCAAAAATAAAATTTTATTCATATTCAGTTTATATTTTAGTAGTATAAATTATGACTATGATTTTCAAGCAAAATTTTTTTTTTTTGCATCTCTACATATAGAAAATAATAAAATGATCTTTCTTTTGTCATTTTAATAAAAGTTACTGTAACACCTTAATTTTTTTTATTATTATTATTAGTATTATTTTATTTTAATTTTTTTTAAATTTTTTTTATATGAATATAATAATTTATTATGTAATAATATATAATTTTAAATTAGTTTAATTTAATTAAATGGAAATAAAAATAATAATAATAATAAAAAAGATAAAATTATTTTTGAGATTTAATTGAAAATAATTTTAAGAAAAATGGGTAAAAATTTGAGTTATGAGAATATTTTTAAAAAGAAAATTAAAAATTGGGGGTCAAAATGCAATTTAAAAAAATTGCGCCACGTCAGCAGCCCTGGCCAACCAAGACATGCCGTGTGGCAGATGCTGACGCAGGAGGCCACGCGGAAGGGAGCCACGTGGGCGATCCGCGTGCGCGCGATCGAACGGTCGAGATCCGTTCCCGCGCGCATGGACGGCCCAGATCAAAAGTGCGTACGGATGGCCCAAATTGCATGCGTACGGACGACCCAGATTGAATCGCGTACGGACGGCCCAGATTGCATCGCGATGAACGATCCAGATTTATTTCCTATTTAATTGCGATCGGACGGTTCAGATTAAATCGCGATGGACACTTAGATTAAAAGCGGAAGGTTATAAATAATTTCATCAACACCTAAACCCTAACCCTAGCCGCCAGAGCCCTCGCCGGAGAAGACAACCCAGCCACCGGAGAACTGACCGCCGCCACCCGCCACCGCACCAGAGCACCTTCCGGCCGTCAAACGAGGTAAAAATTCTCCCCTTGGCTCGAATTTGATTCTAAATTCACCTGTGGCCAAATCGGAGCCAAAACACCGGCCAATGCCGAAAACACTGCTGAAGCTCAGCGGTGCGCCACGGGTTTTTAAGTTTTGCTTCAATG